ATGATTATCAGAGAACTCCGTGCAATAAATACTCCTAGTCTAGGCAGCTACAAAATCTCAAATCCTCTCGCTCAGAAGAGCTTTGCGAATAGAGAATGCAAATTCTTAATCAGCATTTTATCCCCTGTTATGCATTTCATCCCAAAAGGCTTCAACCAAACATCCTTCCTCTGTGAAGACAACCAAGCATTTTCGTTGTTGTTAGAAGAACTGCTATGTTTGTTGGAAGCCTGTCCTCTGGAACATCACCCAGGAAACAGCTTTTGCTTATTGGGCATGTACGCTGAACATACGTTCAGTCTAAAAATGTTTTTTATAGTCCGAAGTGACCCTATGCCCTGTGATTGTTGGTTTAGAGGTGCTGTATTTAGGTCGACCAACATACTGCTTCTATCCCTGCAGTTTTGGAGATCCCCAGCAAAGAAGCTCCTTATGACCCCAGCAAGGCAAGCGACCTTCCTAATCATCCAAATGTGTGGTTTTTCATATGCTATCTTTCTATCTCGTTTTCTTTCAGGATAGCATCCTCAACCGTGCTCGAGGACTTTTCAATCCTGAAGATTTCCGTTAAATCGTACCTCATTGTTCCCCTGAATGTTTCAAAGAGTTTCCTTTGACTTTATATGTGATATTCGAATCATTCCCAGAATGTTGCTAGGTTGACAGTTCTTAAGTAATTATCTTCTTCGACACTGCGAGAGGATTATTATCCGATGTACCAATGGCCCTCGTTTGGTAAATATGTCCCCTTGAGCTTGTATGTCTTGTATCGAACTTGCAGCAGTCGATTTTGTGTATCAAAAACAGATGACACTAATAAATCGTGGTAGAAGCTTCGATCTGCACAGGAGTTGAGAAAGGCTAGTCTAAGCACGTGATGTATCACTACATATGTTGTCATTTTGTCTCTATTTTCGATTTTCTTAACTTTGTCAGGGTTTTGTTTTGTTAGGGTGTAATGTCATTACGGGTTCTTCTGCCAACTTTACGAAGATGCGTCACCAATTTTCGACGAGAATTCAGTGTCACGCCTCAATTGTCTACAATACCATTTGTTATTGAAAATGAGGGCCGTGCAGAACGTGTCTATGATATTTACAGTCGGCTGCTTCGTGACAGAATTGTCTGTGTTATGACACCAGTAAGTGATTCAAATTTTTACGAGCTGAAAGGCGATGCGTGGTCTGTGAGAAGACGCCAGGACGTGAATTGCATAAACCTGTGCATCTTTTTCATCTCGCTTAAATTTATAAGTCT